AAAAGAAACAAAGAAAGAATAAGAAAAAGAAAAAGAAAATTTGGGACACAAATGAGTTACATGGTGTTACATTACAGGTTCTCCTACGTCCTGAATCTTCACTGACCTTGAAAGGCTAAGACCAAAATGTTGGCTGTCCTTGCAGCCCTTCTTTTTCTCAAATTTTTGGTCTGCAAACTTAGGTTGTTAACCCTCCAGAAATACAGCTTATTATTATTACCTACAACATAGGCAGTTGAGCTTAACCTCACTATCTATCTGAGTATCAAACATCTCAGGCATAACACAGAACAGGTATTTTCCATCAAGTATTGATATGTTAACCTTTAAGTCCCTACAGAATATGATCTTGCTATTATAAACACATTACTTAATGGACTATCACTATGCCAACTCATAACATGTGAGATGAAAATAAAGTGTCACCATGTCTCTGAACGTCTGGCTGAATGCTTTAGAGAATCTCAAAGATAAGTAGCTAAAAACATTTTGGTGCAAGCCTGGCACAGCAGTGCCTGCCCCTAACTTCAGCACTCAGGAAACAGGCAGGACAATCACCGTGAGGCCAGCTTGGACTACATAGTGAGCTGAAAGCCAACAAGGACGAGAGTGCAACTGTCTCAAAAAAAGAAAAAAAAGTTTTGGTTCAATTAAGTACAGTGAAAATGCTAGACAAATGCCATAAAATTAGAGAAACCATGAAGCATTCAAATTCTCTGAAATGCTAAAACTATTAAACTATAAAGAAAATGAAAGCAAAACCACAGCTGCTATGCTAGGAGTGTGTGTGTGTGTGTGCACGCGTGCATGCGCGCAGGAAGGAAGGCCATGCTGCAATCCATGCCGTGGGGCAGACCCACATTTGAAGAGCAGGCCTTGGTATGCCTGAAGAAAACGTTAAAATGAAAAGTGTTTATATTACAAACATAATTTCTCATTAAAAATAATAATAACCCTGGATAGGTATACAGCACAGAAACAGACCACCTACATGCCTGGCGTGCACAAGGCCTGGGTCTAATGCCCCCACCTGGCATAAATAGATGAAATAAATATATAAATAAATGTTTAAATTCCTCCTTAAATCAACTTCGATAACCAATCAATACTAATTCTGTCAAATACACAAAATTATTGATTGCCAATAATAGAAATTTAATAGCACCAATGGCCAATAGACAATATGACAAATTATAGTGTATCTGTGCAAAAGAATATTCTAGAGCCATTAAATATCATCTTAGAAATATAGAAAGATGTGAGAAAATGCTTAGAAAATACTATGTGTAAAAAACAAGTTATTAACACATTTACACAGAACATTTTCTAAGTTAAGAAAATATGTGTGGACAGGAGAGATGGCTCAGTAGAATAAGCGCTTCCCTGGTAAGTACAAGGGCCTGAGTTCCATCCCCAGTTCTGCCAAAAAAAAAAAGAAAACGTGCACAGAAAATAGCCTGGGGGCAGGATTGAGAAAAAAGGAATGGAAGAATAAATCCAAAACCCACTGAAAGTAGCTACTCCTGGAGAGATATGGACACATACTCCGGACATACAGATACATACGGACACATATACTCCCTCATAGTGGTCTGCAGTCAGTATATATTGCTTTTACAATTAAAAATTCCTATCAAACAGCAAAACGGCTAAGAGCAGTTCCCAGGGAGACACGTACTCAACAAAAAACACTTGTCCGTTCTCATCCGTCTCTTGCTCCCATCCGTACGGCAAATCTGAAAAACAAAAAGGCCACACAGGTCTGTGTGAGGAACCAGGAGGAGGCCCTCGCAGCGCCTCCTCTGCACCAGCAGCGGCTGCACCAACCTACTCTAGTGTTATTCCCACTGTGGTGGCCCCACGAGGTCCTCTACCTCCAAATGGGTTCCACATTTCTGCCTCTTGTTTTAATGAAAACTCATTCTTTCTTCAAGGGGAGGGGCCTAGGAAATGAAGACAAGGTCTAGGCTAAGTTGTCTGGGTTGGGCTAAATTTAGGATTCTCCTGTCTCAGTCTCCTAGAGAGCTGAGACTACAGGCCCGTGCCATCAGACCAGTCTTATTCTTGATAGCTCTTAAATGTTCCACTGGGCTCCTTACAATGGGAACCTTCCTAACTGCTTTAGTCAATGAAAACTCTCAAAGGAGCTCACGGACCATATCCACGGTGACAGTATCCAACACTTTTCACACTCACCTGTGGACCACACTCATTTTCACTATTTCTCATGTGTCCTTGTTTCAACTAGACTCTAAGCCCCTTACAGGCAGATCATCCTACACTTCTTCTTTCTGCAATCTTCATATGCATTCCATGGACAGCATGTTAAATTTGAGAAGCACCTAGAAGTCACAATACTCTTTATGGAATTCTGTACTATACTTGATATGCTTAAAGCCATGGTATAAATAAACTAAGAGCAACATTATAGTGTTTGCAACTGTAGGGAAACCTAATAAACTGTGAGTCAAAGACCCCTATTTTATAGCTTTTGCTTAATTAAGACCAGTAAGAAATCACCTTCCTCTACCCCAAGATCTCAACACTTCCTTCTGCAAAGCCCCCTGGCTCCTCGCAGCAAGGGTCAGGTTCCTTGCCGGTTCCCCACCAGGGAGCCTTCCCAGGATGACACCTGACCTGCCACCTCACAGCCTATGACATCTTCCTGATCCCACTGGTGCTTCAAACAAGTCTTTTCCTGGGACCACGCTATACAAACCTCCTGCTACTCGTTTTCTTTTTCCAGTTTTCGGATGTTCCCATTGAGTCTTCTCCTCCGTGTGACTGTTAAAAAAATCCACAATACAATAAATAAAAGATAACATCTCTAAAAAGTAATCAATTGCATTAACTTTTTTTCTCTCCCAGTTAATAATCTGAGAAGAAATATGCAGAACATAAATGTTGCTGACTGCAAGGTTCCAGGACTACATGGGGACGCAATCCTCCAGGAATCGGCGGGGAGACTGCAGTGATAATTGGACAGAGAAGGAGAAGTACTGGGCCCCAGATGAGTGGCTGGCTCTAGAAAATTCCAGGAATCACTCCAAGTGTCTAGAGAGGCATTTTATATTTGTTTTAGTTTTATATCAGGATATATCAACAAAATCCAAAATGTCTAATTTATAATGCTAATGTTAAATATAAAGCAGACACAGTGAAAGACTAACCAGTACGTTCCTTCTATTCACAGATATAATTACAAAGTGTCTCATTAAGCACAAGAGGCCTCTAAGAATGCTTGAAGACAACCCCAGAGGTTGTACAGCTGTGCATCTTTGGTCAAGTGATGCCACCTCTTGACCTCCACTTCCTCATCTGCAAAATGGACACATCCTGATCAAGACAACCTGCACAGAAAGGGTTTCACACAGCAGCTGTGGTAGCAAAAATCCTCAAAAGTGCAAGCCACTGTTTTGAAAAAATCAATTATACATACCAGTTTCAATTCTGCCAAACTTAGAATTTTATCTCTGAACACTACACAGGTACAGCTAAAACACTGGGCCAACAGCTAGTGGGAACATCTGCTACCAAGTAAGGAGGTATCCTGGAAAACATAAAATTACTTCCTCAGGGAACTGGCCCAGTGCAGCAGGAGGTATTCAAAGGTTGGGCTGCATCTCCCAAAAGCATGCAGCACGCATGCTCTTGTCAAAATAGAAAACAGTATTACTTAACCGTTGACATCTAAATGACAAAATATGGATACTCCTTCTCATTACTAATGCTAAAGAAAAGCAGCACGAATTTTTATAAAATGATGCAAATCACAAGCAAGATCTTTACCTTGTCCTACGAACCTATTTTGAAACTGTCTCACTGCTATTTCTTTCTCATTAAAATTAATAAAAAAAAAATTTTTAAAGATCTTTACCCTGTCTTTCTTTGGGGGCATGGTACTGAGAATCAAACCCAGCGCCTTGCACATACTAAGCAAGTGGTGAACTACACTTCCAGGGCAAGGTCTGTTTTCAAGAGCTGCGGGCTTCTGATCTGCCTTTATAAACTCCTGGCAGCTGGGCCACTGTCACATTGCGGGGACAATGGACCCACAGGCAGAATAACAGAACTCCCAGGTACAGGTAACTGTGTTCCACCAGGCAATGCCTGCCTCTCAGAGATGCCGCAAAGCTGTGACACAGGACACCTCTGTCAGTGCTTAGAGCATCACTAAATCCTCATGAAAGCAAGAGGTAGCAGCAGCAGAGATAAACCCTACTTACACACCAACCATCCCCAGATCCGACTTGCAGAAAGCAGCACTAATGCCCTCATAAGGCTGACCAGCTCCGGAGTGCACGGTGAGTGTCAGGAGCCCCTCTCGTGCTTATCCTTGCAAGTGGAAGGGAACAGCAAGCAGCCAAGCCTCACGGCAGGCTGGACCCTCAGACACCAGCACAACCCTTTGCCTGGCCACTGTAGGTGTGCAAATGCAAATATGTGTGAATAAACCCCTCCCCAGCAAAAAGAAAAAAAGTCCTTTGCAAAGAAGCTCTCAAATTCAGTTTCTCCCCGCTGGGCGTCAATACACCATTCCCCACAGATGGTGCTAAGATCAAGTGTCCCCAGGTACTAGCAACCCCAGACCCAACCTAAGAATGCCACTTGGGAGTGAGACTTCCACAGCTTAGACGGCCACGTTTCCTGGTACTCCCATTCATCAGCCACACACCCCTGAAGACATTCTGTTAGCCTGCTAAGGCTTATGCCTAGATGTCCCCACAAAGGCGTGTGCAGTGACAGATGGGGCTTTTCAGAGGTGGCTGGATCCAGAGTGTATGATGCTAGGACTGAGGGTGTGTGACTGCTGAATTACTGCCCTGATGGATCTGGCATAACTCTGGGCAGGACTGAGGGCCTCCTACCCCAGGGATGAGTGCTATCCCCCCTAAGAGTGGCAGCCTGGTTAAGACAGAAGGAACTGAAAGCAGTCTCTGGCCTCTTGTCCCTCCCTACTTGCTGCCTTCTGCCCACCTTGCTTCACCATGGACAGTTTCCCTCTGCAAGGCTTCCCTGCCACCCACCCTGCCTGGGAGCCAGCTGATCATGAACTGAGAAACCTACACAAAATGTGAGCAAAATAAACCCTGCCTCTTTTGTCAGGTATTGTGTTTCAGCAACAAGAAAAGTAACTAAGACAGGCTCATTGTGCCTCAGCTTCTGCTTCAATAAGGTGGGGATAACAACGGCCTTTACCTGTGGGGTTCTGGAGAACTGAGCCAGTTAACTTGTAAAGAAATGTGCCTTTCAATAGGGTTAAGTAAATAGGAGGAAGGCCCAGAAGGCCCTAGAGACTGCAGTGACAGCCGCACCTGAGTGCCCCTCTTGACTGTTGCGGACCTGCCAGCCCTCCTGGGTGGCAGGTGCGACCTCAGAGGTAGGCCTCCTGCAGCACAGGAGGTATGGGTGCCTGTGAGGTCCAAGCACGTGCTGTGCGGTGCAGGGAGCTGACGGCATGTCCACCACAGCCCAGGGGTAAGGCTGGTAAAGGGGAATCCCCACAAGACCCGGCGGTCTCAGGGGGCTGTGGTCACTGTCCTTGAACACAAGAAGAGTGTTTGGAAAAAGGAACAACACAAGTGAGTCTGAGAGTCCATCAGCAAGATGAGAAAGGCCAGTGCTGCATCTGGCATTTAAAGGAGAAAAGGGACAGGACTCTTGCAGCTGGCCAGGAAAGATCAAGAAAGGATCAGCACAGCGCAGGCAGGGGAAAGACAGGTCCAGCAGGAGAAGGGGGCCCTAGGCCCTAACAGAGGAAAGTAGGGCAGCCTCTGGGGTAAGTGGCTAGCCAAGGACAGGCTGCATAGAGGGGGGCAGAGGGCAGACGTCTTGGGGTACTGCACACTGTCTGCTCAGGGAGGCTCTGGTTATTTACACACTCCACGTGTTTTGCAGCTATTGTTTTCCTGCTCCTAGGTACTCAACTGCTGGGAAAACAAGAAGAAGAGGTCCTAGCCTTCAGAAAATACACAATATGAGCCTGGCCTGCTGACACACACCTGTAACCCCAGCACTTATGAGACTGAGGCAGGAGGACGGGGATTCACAACAGCCTCAGCTATACAACCAGTTCAGCAGCCTAGACTACTGGTGAGATTCTGTCTCTAAAACCAACAAAAACAGTCTGTCATGTAGAGGAGGGAGACAGATGGCAAATACTGACAAAACACCAACTGGTCATAAGGACCAAAAGCCAGGCATGATGGGACACACCTGTAATCCCAGGAGGCTGAAGGGGAAGGATTATTGGGAATTCAAGACCAGCCTGGGCTACAAAGTGAGCTCAAGGCCAACCTGAGCTGCATAGCAAGACCCTGTTTCAAAAAGACAAAAAAAAAGGAAAGAAAGAAAAAAAAAGAAAGAAAGAAAAGAAAAGACAGACAGTCAGACAGACACCAAGGTGTGGATAACAAGGCCGTGGGTACAGGGGCAGGCACCTCCAGTCAAGGAGGGCCAAAGCTGGGGCAGTAACACTTCAGCTCAGCCGGAGGCAGGGAAGGAGTCTGCAAGCAGGCACACATATCTGAGTGGACGTGGGTTGTTCACAACCTTTAGCTCTCCAGGGCCCCTGACTCTAGGTTGTTTCCTGGGTACAAACCCCCACAGCCCTCTGGGCATAACAACACATCCCTGCAGCTAGCTCCCTGCCTCGGGCTGCCCTTTCTAGATCACACACAGATCCAGGTCCCTGTGCAGGCCACAGCGGATCTCTCCTCTCCCCTGCTGCCCCTTGACTCAGCCTCTCCACTCCAGCTCCAAGTCACAGTTTAGGTGCCAGGCCAC